CTCTCATTCCCTTATCATCCCCAGTCCTAAGCAACCACTAATCTACTTTCTGTCTCCATAAAAAAAACAAACCTGATGCTGTCGAGTCGATTCTGACTCATAGCGACCCTATAGGACAGAGTAGAACTGCCCCGTGGGGTTTTCAAGGAGCGACTGGTGGATTTGAATTGCCAACCTTTATGGTTAACAGTCGAGATGTCTCTGTAGATTAGCCAATTCTGGACATTTCATAAAAATGGAATCATACAATATATGGTCTTTTGTGACTGGCTTAGTTCATTTAGCATAATGTTCTCAAGGGTCAGCATTTATCGTTCCTTTTAACGGTGTTACAGATTGAATTATGTCCCCCCCTAAATATGTTGTAAATCCTAATCCTATTCCTGTGGTTATAATTTCATTTGGGGATGGGTTTTCTTTGTTATGTTAAAGAGGCCATATCAGTGTAGATGTGTCAATCCATCTCACTGTGGTTTCCCTCATTTTCATTGGACCTCTACTCTACCAAATATGATGTCCCTTTCAAGCGAAATATGATGCCATGTATGGGTTTTTTTGTAGATGCTCTTTATCTATTTGAAGATGTTCCCTTCTATTCCTAGCTTGTTGAGTGGTTTTATCATGAAAACATGTTGGATTTTGTCAAATATTTTTTCTGAATCTATTTAGAGATGAGCATGTGGTTTTCAGTTGATTTCTACTGACATTGTATTATATTAATTGGTGCAAAGATATTAAACCAACCTTGAATTCCTGGGATAAATCCCTTAAACGTAAAAGCTCCTTCCTCGGGGAGTCCTTCCCTGACCCTTACCATCAGCTCATATAGTACCTGTGCCTTATCCTTTGTAACATTCATTCAACCTGTAGTTTTCTTATTTAATTTTCCTGATAGATTGCAAGGTCTGTGAGGTCAGGGGCTGTCTTGTTCACTGGTCTCTCCCTGGCACCTGGCACTAACTGGCTCTTTGTCAAAGATGAATTAATGAATTGAAAGATGAGTGAAAGGGGTGTAGTGTAAGGCACCTGGATCTGCAAATGATCTGGAGATGCTCAGGACCTGGTTTTCACACCTGCAGGTTTGGGGGCTGGACTATGTGGGCTCTAATGTCTCTGAGCTCTGACATTTTGTCATCTCTGTAGACTTCATCCCCAGCCTGTCCTCTTTCTCCCAGATTTTTGTGGATATTGGGTTGGACCGTTGGTTGTATTGAGGGACTTGAAATTTTTGAACGAGGCTATGGATGAGGGGTTAAAGAAACTGCTATTTAGTAGCAGGGCAAAGTATACATAAAGCAATCTACTTCAATTCCATGATAATCTTCTTGCAATCTACTTCAATTCCATGATAATCTTCTTTCAATTCTACAATTCGGAGAAAAATAACTGGAACTAAAGCATTATAGACAGATCAACCAAATATTCTCTCTAGGTCTAGGCAATAGCTGTGCTTAAGTCAATGGTTTCTGTCTCAGGAGAAGTTAACTTATGACATATTTCTCATTTGCTAACAGTGGACACTAAAAAGTGATCTCTAGATCCCCGTCTGAATCACACGTTCGGAATGGTCACACATACCAGAGAGTTCTGTGAGGCTGGCAGTGATGGATAGTGAAGCTCCCCATCAACACCCTCTCTCCAAAACCCCTCAGTTGAGGCCTAGCAGCAAATGGAATCCTTTTCTGTAGAAACACAAGGGATTGTCCCCAATAGAATGTCATTTTATTCAAAGCTCTATTCAATCCTGGGTTCTCTGACTTGGGAAACACTCAATGTGAAGCTCTGCCTGCCATACCGGCACCTGGAATTTGAGGGAGGGTCAGGACCTACCGTTTGTGTGTGTGTGTGTGCTTTTTTAATCTCAGAGAATCCTCGTATCTTTCCACAGATTCCAAATGCATAGTAATAAATTTTATCTGCACAACGAAAATTAGCTCTGTATTATCAAGACTGGACATGTTCAAGCACATTCATGTGGTCTAATTATCATAAAAGCAACCTGTTGCTAAAGGCCTGCAGAGAAAGTAAGTTTACCTGGTGAGCCATCTCTGTGACTAAAATCTGGGGACAAGTCTCCCATGAAGCTGTTAGCCTGCTAGCAATTTGATACTTTTAGGGGAAAGGTTCAAACCCGGACTCAGGTCTCCAACCAACAGCTGCTCAAATTAACTGAATATAAAACCTTTGCTGGTGCTTCGTTGCTGAAAGACCACATACTCTCCTGATGCGGAATGGAGAAGATGGAGCATACAGACCAGGGCTGGATGTGTACTTGTGTGATTGCCCTGTGACACCTTACCTTACCTCTGATCCTCTCATTCTGAGTGGCCATCCTAACATTGCAGCTGCCATGGCTCTGAGTGGACCGTTTAGAGCTATAATAGATCCTGAGCCCACTAAGAACTGTACTTGCCTTGCAGGTGCACAGGACTTGATTGTGAAATCAAAAGCTGTACTGCCAAGTAGAATGACTACACATTTAATCTATTTTGTATGCACTGTCACAACAAAAACGTACACTCTGTAGATGAGGTGGGTCAACACAATCTTTTTTTTTTCCTAATTTGTATTTATTTTGTTGTTGTTTTTGAGAATATACACAGCAAAACATACAGCAATTCGACAGTTTAGTCAATTACGTACAGTTATCTACAATTTAGTGACATTGATTACATTCTTTGAGTTGTGCCACCATTCTCACCCTCCTTTTTCTGAGTTGTTCCTCCCTCATTAACATAAAATTACTGCCCCCTGAGGTTCCGATCTAATCTTTGGAGTTGCTGTTGTCAATTTGATCCCATACAGGTAGTTCTTAGAAGAGCGTAATGCTCAAGGCAGACATTTTTTACTAGATAAGCTAGACTATTGTATGGTTTTAAGAAGATTCAGGGGATATTTTTGGTTTAAGGTTTAAAGATTATCTTAGGGCAATAGTTTCAGAAGTTCACCTACCCTCTATGGCTCCAGAAAGTCTAGAGTCAATGAGAATTTGAAATTCTGTTCTATATTTTCCCCTTTTTGATCAAGATTCTTCTACGGAATCTTCGATCAAAGTGTTTAGCAATGGTAGTTGGGTACCATCCAGTTCTTCTGGTCTCATGGCAAAGGAGGCAGTTGTTCATGGAGGCAATTAGCCACACATTTCATATTCTCCTCCCATTCCTGACTCTTCCTTCTTCCTCTGTTGCTCCAGGTAAATAGGGACCAACTATTGTACCTTGAATGGCCGCTTATAAGCTTTTAAGACCCCAGGCACTACGAAACGAACTAGGACCAACACAATCTTTTAACACAAAGATGAAAATAGGAGTGGGCTGCACTGCCCCAGCTTGACTCATGTGATTATGACAATTAAAATGACAAGGGATTATCAATCCACTGGCAGGTTGGCAACAATGTAAATACTGATATAAGTCTGTTCCAATCCCAGCGTGTAAATGATGAATTCACTTAGTCCTGTATCTACGGGAAGCAAGAGCACTCTGATGGAGTCGGGGTGCCTCATAAACTTCCCAGAATCAAGTTATTTAATAAGCTCTTTCTGTATGCTTTGAACTAATGTGCTCCCAGGGATAAGGGCATACAAATGATATCTTTTATTATCTGCAACATACTCAAACAGCAGAGATTCCCCAAACTGACTAAACATTAAGAACACTGGGTGCACTTTAAAAATATGTATAAATTATTGTTTGCCCTTCCTCACTTACTGACTGCAGGGAGGTGGGCAGGGAGGCACTGAGAAATCTTTTGAAAAACTTTCAAACTTTCCAGGTGATCTTGACCACTGGCCATACTTGGTGAATGAGTGTTGAGGGCAGTGGACTTTAATGTGCACAGGGGCCACCTGGGGACTGTGTTAGAATGCAGATTCTGGTGCACAGGGCCTGGATCGTGACTTTCCAACCTGCTCCCCGGTGGGGCTGATGCTGCTGATTCTCAGACTATGCTCTGAGTGGCAGGTTGTGAAGCATTCCCTCTAGGTGGGTCCTGCCACCTCTGTGATTATGTCAGGCCCAGGGATAAACTGCTGCAGTCAGGTCTCCAGGGTACATCCTCGACTTCTTCAGTCCTGCCTCACTCCCTGCTTCCCCTACATCTTGCCTGGTAGTTGGACCTACTCTTCACAAAGGGAGGACTCAAGGCAGGGATGGCCTCCCGCCGCCCCCATCTGTGGTTGTCCTCATCACCCTCTGTAGGCCCTGCATCAGCAGGAACTGAAAGTGCATTAATGGTGATGGGTTTATCTGGTGAAAAGGCTTGTTGTTGTTGTTAGGGGCCATCAAGTTGGCCCCTGGCTCATGGAGATCCAGTGCAAAACGGAACGAAATGCTGCCCAGTCTTATACCATGTTCACAATCAGCTGTAGATTGGACTGCTGTCAACCACAGGGTTTTCACTGGCTGACTTTCAAAAGTAGATCACCAGGCCTTTCTTCCTAGTCTGTCTTAGTCTGGAAGCTCCACTGAAACCTGTTTAGCATCACAGCAACACGCAAGCCTTCACTGACAGACAGGTGGTAGGCAGGGGCGGATTATCCCATAGGCAAGGTAAACATGGTACTTACCTTGCTTACCAGATCATCTGTAGTGAACAATTTCACATTTTTTCACCATATCAAAGATTCTGGTTCTAGGTATGGCTGGCATCTGTCTTTCTCCCAACCCCACAGCACCTTCCTACAGAATCAAAGCCTCTTCAAATTTATAACCCCTGATATGGGCAGATGACCCAGTAAGCAAGGTAAGCACGGGCTTACTTGTGCTTACTTACTAATCTGTAGTGAACAATTTCACATGGGTTTCACCACATTACTGGGTCATCTGCCCCTGACAGTGGCTGTGCATGAGGTGCATTGGCCAGGAATCGAACCTGGGTCTCCCACATGGAAGGTGAGAATTGTACCACTGAACCACCAATGGTAAAAGGCTTAGGGAGACAATTTTGTTTATTGTCAAGGACCAAGAACGTAGTCTGGAAATGCTCTATACAACTGGCGATGAACTACAAAAGGGGCGAATTGGGGAGGAGGCACAATAACACAAGCATAATAGTTGGCGGGAGCTCTAGCTCTGCCTTTTAACATGTGAACCAGGCAGAGACAGCCATCCTTTTCACCAAGTCTGCAAAACAATGGGAAGGTTGCTCCGTCATCTGCTCCTACAGGGCGGGCAGGGCAAGAGGCTGCTTTCAGCTGGTATGTGAGGCCACGCGTGGTGTGCATGGTCCCACCCCACGGGCAGAATGGATGCTGAAGGTGGTCCACGGTTGCCGGCGGGCTGGTCCAGGCTCCCTAGGTACGAGGCTCCTCCTGCTTCTCAATGATAAGCTTGTCTGTGGAATACAGTTGGCTGATGAGGACCTGGGGGCAAAGACATGACACAGGTCAAGAGCTGTGGGCCTCTCTTCACTGTACAAGGTCAGAAAGGGCATTTCTAACATTTGAAACACAAGGGCCTGGCATGACAGGCCTAATCCCTTCTGAAAACTGCGCTTTGGGGTGAAGCTCATTCCCTAGACTGCCTCTTCTTGTTCCCTGCCTCATCAAACCCTCACCTCCCCCTACAGTGAGAAGCCTGAGGTATGCACACACATCCTCCTAGTGCCTGGCCCAGCCTTGCTCCTAGGCTGTCCAGTGAGCCCTGAGGCCCTCATCTGTCCTCTGGCTTCCAGCTGGCGCAGAGCCATCCAGGTGTGGGCGCAGCAACGCCTCACCTAAAGTGACTTCCTTTCTCTAGAACTGAGTCCTTTCTTGAGGAAGGTGCTTCCATAAAGCAGGAACGTGCATCATATGTGTTGGGGTTGTTAGGGGTAAAGAAACAATGCTCAGCTGCCTGTCCCACCTGTGGGGAGAAGGGGGACCGCCTCCCAGCTTGTCAGCCCTCTCCTTCCTAAGTGTCTCTATTAAAGCCCAAGGAGTCCCTGAGGGGTGCAAATGGCTTGGCTGCTAACCAAAAGGTTGGAGGTTCAAATCCACCCAGAGGTGCCTTGGAAGAAAGGCCTGGTGATCTACTTCTGAAAAATCAGCCACTGAAAACCCTATGGAGCACAGTTTTCCTCTGACACACATGGGGTCACCATGAGTAGGATTGACTTCATGGCAACTGGTTACTGATTAGGTTGGGAGGAGGGATCAAGGAAGGCTAGAGGCCTAAAAGAAGAACAAAGATTTAATTAGGCAGTGAGGATGAGCGTGGGGGAATATTCAGGTGGAGGGAACAGCATGTATTTGACTCTGCAGAGGTGGAGGGGAGGACAAATGTCTTGCAGCAGCTGGAGTGCTCACTGGCTTCCTGCCACCTTCCTTCTAGCCACTGACTACCTCCAGACAGCAGCTAGGCAGGAAGTCACTAGCCTGCCCCACCCCTCTGAGCCTGCTGGCCATGGGTATGGCCCTGTCAGGGGTGAGTGCACAAGGTCAGGTCTGTCCCTTCCCCATGGCTCCCTCTGCTCTGGGAGCCCCTCAGAGGCAGACGGAGTACCATACATGTCCCTGGGACCCAGCAAAGTCCAGCAGACAGTGGTGCCCAACAGTAGCAGATGACTGAGGAAGAAACTGGAGAGCAAACGCAGGCATCTTCTTACAGGTGAAAGGCCAGTCACCTAGAGCAGGTGACGAACAGGTGTCTGTGGAATCAAGGGCCCAGCAAGCCCCAGCTGAGCCCTGGCCTAGGGGTATAGCCCTCAGACACTCAGCAGACAAGACAAGGAGCACCTCCTGCACCAGGCCCTGTGCTGTGGTGAGACTCAGAGAAAGACATGGCCCCTGCCCTGGGGAGGCTCAGAGTCCAGCAAGGCAGAGATAGGATATGTCTAGCAAACAGGGCGGTGCACAGTCTACAGGAATAGGAAGGGGAGGCTGACCAGAGTGGGGAGTGAGGGAGACTCTTGAAGGAGATGGCTTTTCAGCAAGGCCTCAGGAGTCAGAGGCAGACAAGCTGGAGCCAGAGGCGGGTGAGCACACCCAGGTGGAGGGAATGGTAGTTGGTGGGAGCCCAAAGGGATGGGTGTGGACCTATGGAGACTGTCAAAGAGCCTGGGGCTATTGAGTATGGATTGCCGTGGGCGGGGGGGGGACACGACACGGGACGTGCGTTATAAAGGAGAAGTAGGTTAGGGCCAGACTGTAGACGCCACACTCATTCTGAGAGACATGCAGAGCCATTAAAATGTTGAAAATAGAGGACTGAGAGATCATACCTGTGCTTACAAAACATCCCTTTATTGTGCTGTGAAGGAGAACAGAAGGGTGGAGAGACTGCAGCCAGGGAGCCTGGTGAAGGGCCTACCTGGAGTGTCAGTAAGAGATGATTCTGGCTTGAACTAAGCAGGTGGCAGAAAGTATAGAGGGAGCATGTCAGAGACTACTTGGGTGATGTATAGAAGGGGAATCAGAACTATAGTTAAGACCAGATCGACTCATGGAGATACTGTTAAGAATCGCTGCCTTCATTTTTTGGAGAGGGACGGACACTCAGAGAAGCCAATCCGTGGAGGAGCAGGGACCTGACCCATCATCTTCTGATCTCTGGTGCTTTTTCCAAAATGCTGCTCCTCTACCAGTCCCCTAACCATGCTGATTTCTTTGTAACATTAACCACACTTCACAGTAACACAGCGGTAGTTATCACAGAAAGTATGAAGGGATTCAAAAGCATACTCATTAAAATTTGAGCTAACCACATTACACAACTGTAGCAGAGATAGCTATGCCTATCCAATATCCACCTTCCCTTGGTGATACATGCAGTTAAAAGACGACACTGTCCAGCCTCCCTTGTAGCTAGAGGAGGTCAATACAATAGGGTATCAGCAGACACCATGGGGTAGGGCTTCTAGGAAAGATGTTTAAAGGGGTTGTTTCAGTTGGGGGTACTCTACTGCCTCCCCCCACTTTGCCTTCATTCTGCCTAGAACACAAACCTGATGGCTGGAACACCAGCAGCCACCTAGCACCGTGAGGTAATTTTGATGATGAGAGCCACATACTAAGGAGGGAGAGGGTGGTGCAGAAGAACCTGCCTGAGTTCTTGATGGAATAAGCCACCACACAGCCCTGGACAGCTTACCTCCGCCTTTCCTTTATGTGAGAGAAAAAATAAACCTCCCCTTTTTAAAACTGTTATTTGAGTTTCTTATTATACACAGCCAAACAAAATCCTAACTGATAAGAATGCACACTACGAATTTTAATTTTAGACCATATGAATAATGGAAATAAAGGTGAATGCAGAGAAGGGGGAGAGCTGTGCCCTATTACAAGTGGAAACAATGTCCATATCACCTGGGGAGAAGGTGCCATTAACAGATAGCTCCTAAGCTTCTAAGGTTTAAAAAAAAACACAGGGGCTTCATGAAGATCCTGTTTTTTTCCTCTCTAAATATTTAATTGCTTTAGGGTATGTAGCTATTAATATTTTGGTATCATTCTGTCTAGTCTTTTAATGCATAGATTTAAAATATATGTGTGCATATATAAATATATATGTGCATATACAAATATATAATATTTAACTTTGGAATCACATCAACTTGCTTTTTCTACTTAATTTTATATTATGATCATTATGCCATTGACTGTTCTTTGAAGGATATTTTTTATAACTGTAATATTTCAATGTGAAGATGTATCATAATTTAATCATTCCCATACGCTAAACATTAAGATTGTATCCATTCATACTGGGATTACCATTCTCATATATAAAACTTTTATCACATCTGTAATTACTTTCTTATAAAAAGTCTCTAGAAGTGGAATTACTGGGTCGGCAAGTATGAATATTTTCATGGTTCTTGATGGCTCTGGCAAAACTGTTTTCCAAAAAGGTTCATCTGTTTGTCCAGATGACGCTGCCCTTGATGGGACTGTTTGAGGTGTCAGCAGCACCTTCACAATGCAACAGAACAAACACGCCTGCTGCCATGGACATAACTCACTGTGTGGATACTGTGTGTGCTAAACGCACTCACCACTTTCTGTGGCGGGCTAGAGCCAGAACACATGGTTCTTCTGCTGTTTTCCCCACAGAAGTCCTGTTGCCAGGGCACTGTATTCAAAACCCACCACCCTAAAGGATGGGCTCTTTGGTGGACAGGTGCTCTGTAGAGGAGATGTAGCTGTGCTGCGGGGTCGGGTGACCAAGTCCCAGCACTATATGTAAAAGACTCCAAAGAAAAGTCATATAATGAAGAACTAGGGGCAATTCAAAGAGCTCAAGTTTGAAGAAACTTTAAATCAAAACAAACAAAAAACCTTCAAATTTACTGTCCACTTTGACAGAAGTATGGATTAGATTAAAAAAAAAAAAGTCCAACCAGATATAACAGGCTTATAGTCTTCAGCGGGGTGGGGTGATGGTGAATGAAATAAGATCTTAATAATATTAATGGTATTAAGAAGGGTATAAAGATGAATATCCTTCCAGTCTTGGGTCTTCCGAAGCCTGTGTCTGCGCAGGCTACCCTACCATAATGGCTCACTTCGTGCCCACCAAGCAAGAGCCCACCAATACTCTGGGCCCGTGCTTGAAGCCTCCCTGGATACCTCTGCAAAACAGGCTCCCTCCTCTGCCTGGAACACTCACCATACTCACCCGTGTCAACCACTGACACTCACATTCGGTCCCTGTACACAAACATTTGTGTGCCCACCTCAGTTCCCCTCCGTGAATATCAGTTATTGATGGGGTCTAGGAGACAGGAGTTGATCATGTCCAGCTTGACTCTGCTTCCTTCACAGCATTGTTTAGGACAGTGTGGGCACACAGAAGGTGCTCAGTAAGTACTTGATACCACAGATACCAGTGTCTTTTACCCCATGGTTATAAAGCACGATGCCCACCAATTTTGTAGTCCAGATCTACATGTGATTATGGAGTGCTTTGGTGGTGAGCTTCTAACAGAAATATGGAAAAGGTAAAGGCAAGTCAATAAAAATAGTGAGGGGACCATTTACTGCAACAAGAATGTCCATCGACTGCTAAGAAAAATAAAATGACTTAAATTTGGTCCAGCAGAGGGTTTAGGTCATAATCCAGGGATATAAGGGACTGACTCACAGCAATTACAGAAGACTTAAGGAAAACATTCAATTCACACAGGGAGGAAATATTAAAAAGTTATCTCCATGAGGGCTCCAGAGTTGAGGCAATAAACATTTGTGTAACGGTTCGGTTGCATCTATTCGAGCTAGAAAAGGTGTCAGCACACATCAGGGTGCCAGCCTGGGCACTGCTTCTGAGCCGCAGGTGAGAGGGCCTGGTCAATGCAATCCAGGAAGTGCAATTAACAGCTCCAATTTACATTCCCTCTAGCATCCCAAACTGACTCATACAGCTGCAGGAGGGGACAACACGCAGA